AGCATCAGTAGAAACACTACGTCACTGGCATTTAACCGCGCTGGCATCCGGCATGTGTATGTCTCCGGCCTCTGATCAATGGTGTCTGTGCAAACCTTGGCCCTGTTATAACACACTGTCGCCTGTTATTTTTTCCAGTCTGGAACATGGGCTCAGAGAGCGGAGTTAACAGTAAAAGTGCGCCTTTGTTCTTGTTTTTTTTACACGCTAACAACATGACCCTCCATACCGGTAAAACTGGCTGAGATGATCTTCTCCTCCCCGTCGTCTTAACGTCATCTGGCAGGCGATGTTCGTTCGTGAGGATGGCCCGACGTGTGTGAGCTTCCGCCGCATCAGTTTGTCCGCCAGCTCCGCGGCCGTACACAACCGGTCGGCTAATGTGTGTTGAGCGGCGCCGCCAGGCGTTCGATGACATTTGCGGCGCCGGTGACGTGCTGGGCTAGATCCGGGTTACCTCCATTTCCGGCGTAGGACAGCAATACAGGGTTGTACCGGGAGCTGGCGGGAGCCGACGTCAGCCCGTTGCGGATCAGCAGGTCACGCTGTGATGGTGCGTGGGCACGTAGACGATGAAGAAGCCGGCCCCGGAAGGTGCAGAGGGCCTCGCGCACTGTGATGCAGTCTGGCAAGCCGCGGTAACACTTCAGGAAGCCGTTTGACTTCCTCAGATTCCCTCGTGATGGCGACGGGCTTGCCCTCTCCTCCCGTCTGTGGTGATCGTCGATGCTCAGCGCTTGCAGCAGGCCTTCGAAGCGGCTCATCGTCGTCGTGGTCCGGTAGAATGATCTTGAGAGGCTTCCAAACAGCAGATCTGGAGTGCTGCAAGGATGAGGAGAATGAGGAGGCGCAGGAAGGCTGACATGTTTCCCGGATGGATCGGGGTGTGCCATTGGTCGCAAAACAACCGTGTTGCGGTCATCACTGAACCGTTCACACCTGTGTAACCGTTTTATCGTATCAGTGGTCGAAAGTGCGGCAACCTTGACCCTGGCCCCTCCCTTCTCCCGGGCCGTCGCGTAGATCAGGCTTTAGGTCTTCCAGATTGCCAACAGTGAAGCCATGCCTGGCAGGGAGCAGACGTGTAAGTTTACATGTTCACTCTTCACCGGCTGCATGAGAGGGAGGTCTTCCTGCATTGGTATTATTCAACACGTCTGACTTGCCGAGCGTCTGAAATGAAGTGCTTGTTGTGTTGATCCAATCTTTCAGCTGTGATATTCCAGCGTGTTGTTTCAGTCATTTATCATTTGCAACTTTACTGTGCAATGTGGTACTTAACATGCCAGGCAAGGAACGGGTTTGGTGGAAAAGGTGACCTAGGCCTAGGATCATTCGCGTGGACGTGAACTGTGCGCTACCTTCGTGTGGCCGGATGACCTTGGCTGCTTGGTCTTCTTCGGAAAACGTGCAGGCATGGTTTCTTTCGAAAGTGTGACCAGTTCGGGCTATTATTGTGCCTAGTCGTTCGGATTATTTCTAAAAGCCGCCTATAAATGGTCCCGAGAGGAGCCTTCGATGTCTTGGTCCCATCAGCAATGCCAACGATTCGAACTAAGCCGGGGCTGATTAATAGCCTTGCACCAATTATCGTGATCGGATGAAAAGCTGTTTTTCCAACGGATTTACGAGCCTATCTTTGGCTATTCCTCGTATGTCTAATGTCGTCCACTTTATCTTGATATCTATCCGGGATGAGATATAGCTCTAATTATCATACAAGATCGTTGGGCCTGTCAGTGGCAGCAACCCCAAGTACTTTCGCTTCTAATGCTTGTATTTTTTTTCATTTAATGAAAAGACAAGCACTATGCATGTATCAGAAAAGTATGGCTATGCGCTAGCCGATTTTCCGAAGGGTAAAATCATCCTGTTCGTTCCTGCCTGGGCATTCCAATGAGGCAGAGGTGAAAGTGTGTGATTGATAGTCGGGAATGGTGTTGGGTTGCAAGGTTCTACCTCGGTTGTTGTCGTCAGAACTTCCTTGCATGTCTGAGGATTTTGTGGTATGATCAGCTTGGTAGAGTTCTAGCCGAATTTTTTTTAACACTGTTTCGTTGCAGTCCTCTGGACTTCTTCCAACGCAACCCGCTAGGTACTTTTTTCTTCCAGCGTAACCCTCAAGGTTTTTGTGTCACGTTCTGCTCTTCCTGGGTGTCAGGCATCATGATGGTAATTCCCAATTCTCGTTGCCATGACCACTTTGAGCAAACAACTGGTTCATACTTGAATCCCAAAGCGACTAGCTGAACTCCTGTGCCGTCAACACAACGTGTGGCGCATCGGCATCCGCAGCACCAGCTGTTTGGCGCGTGTCTGGCAGAGTGTCAGAGGACGCAGGCTCAGCGCGGACGCCCCGCGCTGAGACCTGTCACCGTCGAGGCCCTGCCTCCAGCCGTCGGGTCCCTGCCTCCAGCCGTCGGGTCCCTGCCTCCAGCCGTCGGGTCCCTGCCTCCAGCCGTCGAGTTCCTGCCTCCAGCTGTCGGGTCCCTGCCTCCAGCCGTCGAGGCCCTGCCTCCAGCCGTCGAGTTCCTGCCTCCAGCCGTCGAGGTGCCCTGTCGAGGCCCTGCCTCCAGCCGTCGAGGCCCTGCCTCAGCCGTCGAGGACCTGCCTCCAGCCGTCGAGGCCCTGCTCCAGCCGTCGAGGCCCTGCCTCCAGCCGTCGAGGCCCTGCCTCCAGCCGTCGAGGCCCTGCCTCCAGCCGTCGAGGCCCTGCCTCCAGCCGTCGGGTCCCTGCCTCCAGCCGTCGGGTCCCTGCCTCCAGCCGTCGAGTCCCTGACTCCCAGCCGTCGAGTCCCTGACTCCAGCCGTCGAGTTCCTGCCTCCAGCCGCCGAGGCCCTACCTCCAGCCGTCGGTCCCTGCCTCCAGCCGTCGGGGTCCCTGCCTCCAGCCGTCGGGTCCCTGCCTCCAGCCGTCGAGTTCCTGCCTCCATCCGCCGAGGCACCGGGCCGCACTTTGAACATGCCGCTTTGCATCCTCCTCCTGTCGGCGTCCTATGTAATGCAATGTACACCGGGGTGGGTTTTATGACAACCGGTGAGCACTCGCGTGTCGAATCACTTAATCACGCCATCGTACTAGCTGCACTGTGCCTTGTGCACGGCGCTGAATGCTAAACCATGCACCTGTGTGGAATAAACAAGTCCCCATATGGAAGCGCCGTCTCCGCTGTTCGGTAGCGGCCGTGCGGTGCCGGTTGTTTGGTCGCTGATCCTCTAGATATGGATCTAACTTGCTGTGCTCCTTATCGGTGGTCGCCTTTCGGTCACCAGTCCTTGCAGACGAGGACCCGTCGCAACAGCTTGAAGACACAGTGACCTGGGACCCTCGCAGCGGGCGCGGTAGCCAGTCAGCGTGGGGGGGGGGGGGGGGGGTGGCCCGGTAGGCTGGGGGGAACGGCTGGTCGCGCGGCCCTGCGGTCCTGATCTTGCGCTCGTTCACAACTGGACGCTACAGTGGTCACGCCGCCGACGCCTTCCGTTCAGAACACTCTCCAGGATGTGGGCCAGCCCCAGCGACATTAGCCGGCCCAGAGCTCGGTCGGCAACCGATTGTTAATGTGGGCTTGGCTTGGTGAACAAACCCGTCGCTTCAGTGTTTTTTTTTGGGGGGGGGGGAGGGGCGGAGAGGGGCAAGTCCGGCTGTGGTGGGAGAGAGCTCAGAGGTGACAAATCATAGTGGGTCATGGTGGATCTGTTTTGTTTTTATTTCAAGCCAAGCTCGGAATGGGAATTGAACCCGCGTTACGTGTACCATCAGAAAAGCGTCTCAACTTTTGGCGTACGTTTGGCACTCCAGTTCGCACTTCAACGTGAAGGAATCACATTCGAGCTGTCACGTTGCAGTTAGGCCAAACTGCCCATCTGAGCAGTATTATTATTGCAAAAGTAAGGCCAGCGGGCAGTTGAACCCTGGCCTCCATGAAAACGCTGCAGGCGGCCTGACGACCGCGATTCTCACACTTGACCACATCCGCGCTCCATTTGGGCGGGAGCGGACTCGCAACGACCGACCGAGCCTGTTGACAATCCCATACTCTGGGCGTATGAGGTCGCTCGCCGTCAAACCTTTCCTATGGTCCGATGCACTATGGTCGACAGGTTATGCTTTCCAAAACATGGTGACCTTGGGTTCAGCCACTGGTTGCTGGAAACGCACGAAGCTGTCAAAATTCGCTGCAATCGAGCCCGCGTCCCCAGCGTACGGGGCTGACTTGCCCTCAGCCTTGACCATTTACTGCGCTGTAGTTAATAGCTCGTTCTTCCCAGAATGTGGTGACTTTGGGTCAGGTCGAAACTGGCCGAAAAAATGCAGAACTTGGATACAAAGTCAGTTTCAGACAATCCCTGCATATCCTTTTCACATGGACCAAGGTCACGACATCCTGGACGGGGCAGGCTGCTGTGAGGTTAGGCTGTCTATCACAGACGAGTCTGTGGCATATCCCGTGAAGATACGCCATAGTCTTCATATAAGATAGGCGCCTCCATGGTCTGAGACTCACATGAGGTAAGCATGGAAAATTCGGTTCCGTGATGAATCATCCAATACCATCATTGAAATATGGCTGGGAAAGTACAAGCCTTCTTTGACATCACCCTTTTGCGTCCAACTTCAGAAACGCTGCGCACGTTTCAGCACCCATCGAGGCCAACTGTGTTCCACAAACGCTGCCGTCCTTGATTGGGATCAACTGCATTTTAATTAAGGCTTGACGTGGACATCAGTTTTATGTCAGATTTGGAACTTGCGCAAAGTGAGTGTCGCTGTTCTCACTACGAGTAGTAAACGACTTAACGTGCTTCTAATCGGAGCCGACTGTGCTGTATGGTGCCCGCTGGCGCAGGTCTGTCCAGAGCGTTGTCGGCCAAGCATGTGTGCCGTCCGCCCAGCGTCAGTGACCACGCCACGACTGCCGCCGCGCTCGCCCGGCATCGGCGGCGGCCTGCCAATGCCCCGCGCCGCTTCCGCCGCCGCTCACGCTGCCCTGTTGCCGCCAGGTGTCGCAACACGCAGTCGGTGTACGATAAGTGCGTGCAGGACAATCTGGGCCTGGAGCGGCCCTACTACGGCTACTTCTGCGAGCCGAAGGTGATCCAGACCAGCAGGTGAGCGCACCGCACACGCCACGACCCGAACTGGGTAGGCGCGCTGCACACGCCATCGCCCGAACTGGGTGAGCGCACCGCACACGTCGCCACCCGAACTGGGTGAGCACACCGCACACGCCACCGGCCGAACTGAGTGGGCACACTGCACACGCCACCGCCCGAACTGGGTGAGCGCACCTCGCACGCCACCGCCCGAACTGGGTGAGCGCACCGCACACACGACTGACCGAACTAGGCTAGCGCACCGCACACGCCATCGTCCGAACTGGTTGGGCGCACCGCACTCTGTATACGCGGTAGTCCATCCAGCAACGTGTGGCCATCGTCTCACCGCAGCCGTCCTGGATTGACCAAAAGTACTGGGACGTGGGATAGGGTAGGGGAGCAAAGAGTGCGGGTTATGGTGTGAGGGTGGGGTAAAGGACGCCACCCGCCAGTGAGTGCACGCTCGTTGGCGCCCATTTCTGGTTACGCTGACCCGGGACTCTCCCTAGTGAGAGCCGTCCATTTTTAGTTCATTTTGCTTCTTGCACGACGTCGTGTTTTGTCCATCTGGGGCTTTTGTTGTTGTTAACACACGGTTATCTTGAGATCTAGGATTACCACCTCCGTGCAAAGGTCGTCAGGACCCGTTGAGTAAAGGTGATCAGAACGGTATACCGAAAGGAAAGCTATGCTTCTGATGCTTTCCAAAGCTTTCCTCGCGCTAACCTTCGTCGCTTCCTCCTCGTTTCCGGGTTCGCAGTGCTGGCTAGCTGACGCGTTGCCCCCGCCGCTCCCCCGCCCCGGGCGCGCGGCGCCGGCTGGCTGACACGTTACCCCTGCCACTCCCTCCCCCGCCCCGGGCTCGCGGCGCCGGCTGGCTCATGCGTTATCCCTGCCGCCCTCCCCCACCCCCCCCCCCCCCCCACCCGTCCCCGGCCCGCAGCGCCGACTGGCTGACGTGTTACCCCCGCTGCTGCGTCGCTTCCGGGCTCGTGGCGCCGGCTGGCTGACGCTGGCTGCTGTTGCAGACCGCGGCCGGAGCCCGAGAAGCCGCTCGAGTTCCCGAATACACCGGACGAGCTGCCGGACTCGGCGCCGCGGAAGCCAGCGCCCGTACAGCGAGGGCGGAAGCCGCACGTTCTTTTAGCAGCAGCGCTGCGCAGCAACCGTCTGGGCGCGCTCGCCGGCCGCTGGGACGGTCTCGTCGGCCGTCTGAGCGCGCTCGCCAGCCGCCGGGACGGTGTCGCCGGCCGCTGGGACGGTCTCGTCGGCCGTCTGGGCGCGCTCGCCGGCCGCTGGGACGGTCTCGTCGGCCGCTGGGACGGTCTCGTCGGCCGTCTGAGCGCGCTCGCCGGCCGCTGGGACGGCATCGTCGAGTCGCTTGTCAGTAGATGTGTGTAAATACATTGGATACGGTATGAAACGGTCTTTTGGTGCTACCGTTTAGTGATTGAATCAGTATTGGGAATGACGCCGGCATTTGGCGAAGGATTTTGCCTGAAAGGATATGACATATCAGCAACAGATCCTCAGGCACTGAATATCTTGATTTTGGTTTAAGCATCAGAAAAACGACATCGTCATGTTGTGTAGTTTACGTTCATGTTGCGGTTTTGTTTTGTTTACCTTCACGTATTTTCGAGAACAGAGGTATAGGTAGATCACGTGACTTGCGCCAGTGAGATCTGGCAGGCAACGTTCAAAATTATATTATATAAGAACAGACTGAACATGATTGGCATTACTGTATTTGTTGTAACAGAAGTGCAATAGGTACCGGTGCGCAACGTGAGGCACGATGCCTCCTTACCTTTCCATGTTTACCAATCAAATTTAGCTTAGACAAGCATCCGTCCGTTTTTGTATCCGTTTTTGCAAAATCAGATTTACTTTTTTTCTCAACCATTGGCGCTGCCAGGATCCTGGTTTGGGGGGGGGGGGGGCGTAGCGCAGTGCTACTTTGTTATCCAGTCTAACCGACGGGCGCGTGTATTGAGGAGCTTCATGGTTTGACCATTGAGGAAGCTCCTTATCGTTTCCTGTACAAGTGTACATATTGCGTAAAGCAGTACAAAGGCCCATCACCTTTCCGCTGAAGAACTGAAGAGCATTTCCGTCCTCGACTTGCTCATCGAAGGGTTACTGTTCTGGCTACGGAAGGGAGGCGACATTCGGTCAATCCGAAGGCCCTCAGAGGGACTCATTACACGTCATTCCCGGTCCTGGCGGCTGGCGCAGAGTCCTTGCTTGCTGGACTAGAGGTTGGATGGAAGAAATCGAAGCGAAAAGACGAAAAAATGAGATTGAAAGCAGTCGAATTTGAAATAAATCGAAAGACAAACACCCAAAAAAGATCAAAGTGGACAGGAAGAGGAGTCGAAGTAGCAGGCAGTTGAAGGGTGAAAAATCTAAGCGACAAAAGTATTCAAACAGGTGATCAAAAAACGCTTGAAACTGGGGAGCCATCCGGATTTGAAGCATGGCATGAAATGGGGGACGCACCACTGTGGCCACTGGGCACAATGCGTGAAGTTTTCCGCTTGCAATGAAGGTCGTTGCTGCCTTGGACCGAGTTAGAACCCAGGGTTATGCGTACGATGACGGCATGGGGCAATGATGACTTCTATAGTTTAAATTAGTATGGAAAATGGAACTGGGTCCAACTTTAAAATCAGGTGAGAAGCTCCATTGATAATGCCCACGGGGTAACAGAGGACCTCCTCTCTAGCAGAGCCGACAAACTGGCTACTGTGAATGGCTTTGGTTCAGAACACGTGCGGAGCGGAGCTTACTGCGTTTGCTCCATAAGGCTGTCACTCCGTACTTAATGCATTAAGTACTGAGACCGGGGGCATCCGGCCTTTTCGTCAGGCAAGACAGCAGGAACATCTTTCCCGTGCCTTATGATACTGTGACAAGGCTGGGTCGCTGGGTCGTAGCAACATGACACACTGCCAACAGTTGTATGCACGATCAGAACATACCTGCTGCAAATACGCGTTGATGATCATTGGATAGGACTACGGGTCATAATGCGCTTTGGGATGAGGTAAATTAGGACTGGAAGAATTTTAAATTGACGTGCTATCGGTGGTAAATATTTATGGGAATCAAAGCCGGGAAGCCACTTCATTGGGAACCCGTTTGGTGTTAGTGCTACTTAAGGGCGGATATATACCGTATATGATGGCACGGATCGTCAAGTCCGGAAAGTCACTTAGAATACACCATGTGTAACACACTGAGGTTTTCAACTGCACAATTATGCTACTGCCTGAAGCAATGCTCCCACACCGGCAAACAATCGACGGACTGGATTGTTTGCCGATATGGCCGATGTGGGAACATTGTTTAAACTGAACAATTATGTTACTGTCTGAAGCATTGTTTCCACACCGGCAAGAATCCACGGACTGGATTGTTTGCTGATATGGAGACATTATTTAAACTGAACAATTATGCTATTGCCTGAAGCAATGCTCCCACCCCGGCAAACAATCTACGGACTGGATTGTTTGCTGATATGGGAACATTGTTTTAAACTGAACAATTATGTTACTGTTTGAAGCAATGCTCCCACACCGGCCAGCAACCTACGGATTGGATTGTTTGCCGATATGGGAGCGTTGTTTTAAACTGCGCAGTTGTGCTACTGTCTGAAGGAATGCTCCAACATCGGCAAACAATCTACAGTCTGGATTTTTTTTAGCATATTTTAATATAGCTCCCCATCCCTGCCAGCTTTTATCGCTTTTAATCTTTCGTTTACGGACTATTTTCCATTTTGACGTTCCTGCCGAATCTCATTTCTTTTGACAGTTGTCCTTTTTTTCTTTTTCGTTTTCCTTCATGGTGGCAATTGTCATTTGACATTTTTCATTCGAGTTTTCCATTCGTTTTTTCCATTTGACGTTTTGTCCGACGACCTACTGACCGGACTGGTTGGCCGCAGAACGACTTAAGTACCATCATTGACAAAAAATCTCTTACCGATGCAAGAGGTCTAATAAATGGCATAGGGATTCTACTCGAAACGGGATAGAGGCCCCCCGCTTTGCACTGCAGTCCCTAACTGTCACGATGCCCTTCCATTACCGCATGGTGGATTATTTCATTGTCAGAAGGCCTCAGCCAACGTAAGAGGCCTTTGGCATTCGGGTTCCGGTCCCTGTTCCTAGTGAGCAAGTGGGTCCCTTGGCTGAATAGGGGCCCTGGCCCAAGCCCTTTGTCGACACAGGACCCCATTTAGGCATCGTTGGCCACTGGCTGAGAGAGGTGTCCCTCATTGTGCTAGGGTCCCTGACCACTGCAGGAGGCCTTTTGTCTGGCATTAGCTGGCTCCGGCCCTGTCCCTGATTAGGAAAGGTCCCCCGGACCAATACGGGGCCGGCTGTTGTTCGTGATCTTTGACCGGTATGGGACATTGTTTCAGGGTGCCCCCGATCGGCACGAGAGGTCCTTCGAGAGCACCGACCTACGGTTCCCTCAATGTCATCTCCGGGCATTCGTCGGGCACAGCAATCATCCCCTTTATCATGAACCTAAAGAAGGGGCACGTGCCCTCTGCGTCTTCCTCCCGCCTGCGCCCCTGATCCCAACTAAGGTATTCGTGTCACTGTCTTCAATAGGCTAATACGAATGCCCGAGGCCTGTTGTGCATTGGCAAATGGAGACCCACTCCTTATTTCAGGGTAAGCTCATTTATCGCGCCTGACATCACGCCCAAGCCTGACCCCTAATCGGTCGAGAGGCGAATTAAGTGCGTTTTCTTACAAGAAAGTCGTCGTTGCTGACATAGCATCCCTTAGTAACAGTTGATGCGCAGTTAACTGTGTTGTGTGTTCTACAAACAAGCAGGTCTCGATGTCATGCGAAAAATGTGATTGTTTATTATTTCTTTCTCCACAGACCACTTACCAATAACTAATGTTCAAATAAAAGTCTAGTGCGCCATTCTTGCGCCTCACACGTGTCCATGCAGATAAGTCAGCTCATTCTACTTGCGCCCGTATTTACAGTTAATTGCGTCCTTTACTGGTATACATCTGTGACACCGCTTCAATGGGCGAGCTGGAGTTGTAAGTCAATGGGGAACCGGGCCCTGGAGTTGAAGAGAGTGTTCCACATTTGCACGGAGTTTTGAACAGACACATTTTGGTGATCATTTAGCACAGTTCACAGTCCTGCCCTTTTCGAGGCTTAACACACGGCCGGGTGTGCGGTTGGATTCCCTTCGCTCGGGCAGGGGAATCGGAACACCAAATTCATAAGGTGTGTTGGCCTGTACGTGAGCTGATTTAGATCAGTTTGAGGTTCGTAAGTCATGATCTTCGGGTCAGATGAGGTAAAAAAATTCCAAACCCGGCTCGGTCTCCAAAGTGCCCCCCGACTTAGTTGCCTGTAGTAAGCAAAATTGTACATGCCCATTCAAAGTCAGTGACCTTAACTGACCTTTTGGAAGTCATGACGACCAAAATCGTGCAAAACTGCTTTAAGTTCCGCATTTGAATAAGCGACAAAGATTCTTTCAGTTGATAAAAGATTCAAGATTCAAGTTCAGTTGACCTAGGGTCAGTCATGAAGGCCAGACCAATGTCAAAACCAACCTGCTTTTTTACTCGAGCCTTCTGTATGAGATAGCTTCTGGTGCTCACTTTGAATGTGTAGCAGTGGCCGCATAGCCTATACATACATAGCAGTATAATACGTATAAGCCATTTATAACAGCGACCTTTCCACACATTTTTCATGGATTTATTGAAGATCAGAAGATGTCACTGACCTAAAATGACCATTGTCAACATTCCGTTTTTAGGAACACACCACCTAGCGTAGTCTTTGGCGTTTTTTTAGACGCAAAAATCAGAGCAGTCTTTTATGTTTTTGGTCACCATCACTTCCTAAAGGTTTAACGAGATCACTGAACTTAAATGAACACCAATGACGTCTTGCTTAGAACAGGTTTCTAGGTTCATGATGGTTGCATGAGTATGTCTGGAAACTTTGGACACTGTAGTTAAACCTTGTTTGACATCATATGATCCTTAAGTCAGGACCAAGAAACCTCAAAGTTTGACACAGGTGAGTGCACATATAGCATAACACACCCTGAA